CCTTGAGACCCTGCATACTCGTGGGAGACCTGGAAGAGCTCCTAGCTCCTAGCTTCGGATCAGCACAGCACCGGCTGTTGCGGTCGCTTGGGGAGTGAATCATTGGACGGAAGATTTTCCTCTCTGTCTCTCCTCCTCTCTGTATATCTTGACTTTGTAATAAAAATAAATAAATGTTTTTTTAAAAATTTTAAAAAATAAAAAACAAAAATAAAATTTCACAAGAGAAATTGTTACACAGGAATCCAAAAATCTAGGCAAACACAAAGTAGAAAGAATTAAAAGTTAAAATGAATACATTACAAAGTTGGCTCAAGGTTAGGAATATGCCACAACGACCCAACCACATGGAAGATACAAAGAGTGAAGACTGCGCAAATGATAAACAAGCAAAATGCTTAGAAGAAACACTTCAGCCATCTAGACCCGCTTACGGATGTAGGAAAGTAAGCTCTTCATTCCCAGGGTCTGAGCAATGCTGCTGATGCATATACACCTGGCAGAATAAGTCTGCTAAACACAGACTACTCTCAACCATTCTCAAAATGTAGTGAAATAAAGGAGGGACACCTCAACTTGGGCTTTCATTTTTTTAAAAAAGGATTTCTTGGGCCCAGCGTGGTGGCGCAAGTGGTTAAAGGTCCTCACCTTGCATGCCCGGGATCCCATATGGGCGCCGGTTCTAATCCCGGCAGCCCCGCTTCCCATCCAGCTCCCTGCCTGTGGCCTGGGAAAGCAGTCGAGGACGGCCCAAAACCTTGGGACCCTGCACCGCGTGGGAGACCCGGAAGAGGCTCCTGGCTTCGGATCGGCATAGCATCGGCCGTTGCGCTCACTTGGGGGGTGAATCATCGGACGGAAGATCTTCCTCTGTCTCTCCTCTCTGTATATCTGTCTTTCCAATGAAAAAATAAAAAAAATTTAAAAAAAAAGGATTTCTTTATGTATTTGAAATTTATAGTGAGAGAAAAAAAGAAAGGGAGAGGGAAAAAAAGGAAAGTGAGAGAAACAGAGATATTCATCCACTGGTTCACTGCCCTGATGGCTACAAAAACCAGGACTGAGACAAGCTGAAGTGGAGAGCCAGTGCCCAAATGGGAAGTCGGCATCACTGCCCATTAATACTTTTTCATCTTTAAAAGAGGCAGGCAGAAACCGAGAGCATGTATGCAGACACACTCCCAACCCACTGGTTCACTTCCTGTGTTCCCAAAACGGCCAGATCAAAGGAGACGCCAGGCACTCAAACCAGACCTCCCACGTGAGTACTTCTACCCCGACAGTGCACATCAGCAAGAAGTCAGAGTCAGGAGGGTATCAAACTCACTTTTTTTTTTTAAAGAATTACTTATTTTTATTGGAAAAATGGATCAGATTTACAGAGAGAAAGAAGCAAAAAGACCTTCTACTCTCTAATTCACTCCCCAGTTTGCTGCGATGGGCCAGAGCTGAGCCCATCTGAAGCCAGGAGCCAGAAGCGCCTTCTGGGTCTCAAATATGGGTGCAGGGTCCCAAGGACTTGAGCTATCACCCACTGCTTTCCTAAGCCATAAGCAGGGAGTTGGATGGAAAGTGGAGCAGCTGGGATGTGAACTGGTGCCCATAAGAGATCCTAGCACTTACAAGGCGAGGATTTAGCTATTAAGCCATCACACTAGGCCCATACCCACAGGTTCTACTACAGGTCTGGGTACTTTAACCACTAAACCAAAGCAACCATGTGTGGCCCACTTGTGCTTAGTCACCCAAGTTGATTATCTCACATTCCACCAAGAATGAAGACATGAACACTGAGGGGTGACCAAAGGGCAAAGCAAAGGTTTACAAATGAACAGAGAGCACATCTCTCACAACCAAGCAGTCCAGCGACAGGGAACTTGGGAACCAGAAAGACCTTACTGAAAAAACAACAGAAAAGACACAAGTGAACCCTTAAAAAAGCCATTGGAAGGAAATGATCTGGGGTCTTTAATCCTCGAGAAGGGGTCTAAGGGGCACTTTGAGAAAAGTCCTCAGGGCCTGCACTGCAGTGTAGTGCCTTAAGCCCTGCCTGAGCACCAGTTCAAGTCCTGGCTACTCCACTTCTGGTCCAGCTTCCAACATTAATTTGGAATGCAGTGGAGGATGGCCCCAGTCCTAGGGTTCCCGCACCTACATGGGAGACCCCGAGGAAGCTCGAGTTCTGACTTCAGACCAGCCCAGCTCCAGTCATCTGGGGAGTAAACCAGAGGATGGAAGGTTGGTCTCTCTCTCTCTCTCTCTCTCTCTCTCTCTCTGCCTCTCCTCCTCTCTCCATAAATCTGCCTTTCAAATAAAAACAAACTTACCAAAAAAAAAAAAAAAAGAAGGAAAAGAAAAGTGTTTTCTTGTTACTCCCCACCCCCTGAGTGATCAGCCTCTGGTCCCAGGTGTGTCTATCCCCAGCTGTCTTGAGTTTGTTAACTGCGGGTGCTAGGCTCTCATCCTTTAGAGTCTCCAGGATTTTACTTTTTTAAGTTACCTGTCTAATTTTTCCAAAACATCTCTCTTCAGTTCCTGCCCTGTACTGCTTGGCCCCACTGGCCACTCGTCACACAAGGCAGCTCTCCCTTCAGCCCTTAGCTATCTGCCCGAGTCTACACTAGCCTAGCTTGCTCCTTCCTACCCTATCAAGACCAGGCCACAGCCTTAACTGCAGGAACCACTCTTCCTTTCTATTTTCCAACTGCTTCTCAGAATCATGGATGCTGCCATGCAGATGAGTGAAGTCATGCCAGTCAGAGCAAAGGTTTAGCAGGACTGCCTAGCACATCTTTAGAGTAACAACTTCAGTATGTCCAGACCACAACAAATTATGCATATCAGGAACAGATAGTGAAGAATGATAGATCAGGTTCCAAAGCAAGTTTGGAGAATAGTTTGAAAAGAGGTCTGTAAAACATTCCCACAATTTCCCACTTAACGAGCGTCACAGCCAAGACTAGGCAGTGTCAGCTTTGTGTCCCAGGACAGTTACTCTGCTAGAAGCTACAAAGGCTGAGACACAGCAGTGCACTTCAGTTGGCTCGTACTTCTACTACAAGTTCAGATAAGGTAAAGATGAAAAAAAATGCTCATCTCATTTGTCCACAAGAAACCCAGTGGAGACCACTACAGAGCTGTCCCGGTGACAGAAAAGGAAGATTAATTTGGTTTCTGAGGTTACAGAATGAAAACCCACAGACCAGAAGGGGCTGTTCTTAGCAAGCAGCAAGGCTGCACGTCTTGTCATTAATGCAGAGGAAGGAAATGCTTCACCTTTTATAGGTTTGATTGGGAGATGTGGAGGAAGATTCAAATCTCATGGACTTTTTGTTTCTTCTTTAAGGAAGTTGAAAGTAATTCTTGAAGTCTGAAGGAAAAAGTATGAAGGGGCGAAGCAGATTTTAAAAGAACAACAAGAATCAGGTAAGAAAAGCCGAGGAGTATTTATCCTGTAGGAACTGGCAGCAATGCACACGCTAAAACACACACCTGTTGTGTGCTGGGTCTTATTCTTTTCACCTGCTCAAACCGAGAAGTTGCAGTTAACCTTCAAAACTAACTCCACCTGCAAAACCTCTCCAGGCACTCCCTGAACTGCTCCTCACCCCAGAGTTACCATCCTTCCTGGTGTTAAAGCTTTACTGTGTACACAATCTTACTGCTGCCCTTACAGCATTACATACATACCCGGAGCCCAAGCTCAGCTAAATTAAGATTTAAAAGGTGCCTGGCGGAAACCCCAATCCAAAAAAACCTAACACAGTCTGGTTCAGGAAAAAAAAAATTACCCTTGATTTAAAAATATAAACTATCCTGAGAAGGCCAAGTCATGAAGAACAACAGTGAAACACTCAACTGAGACAACAAGAATCTATAACTGTAATCATTCGTCACCCTCTTGGCTCCACAACTTTTTGCAACATGTTTCTAGTGCTGCCCAACTAGAACACACTTAAACTTCACCTGTTCTATGCAGGACAACGGTTCTGGAGGCGGCCGGGACACGGAAAACAGCTTTCAACAGTATTACTAAAGACAAAGGCGAGCCACAGACATGGTTTTAACGCAGGTACTAAGAATTTGAATTTGAAGAATTTGAAAACAGCTGAGGAAGGCCTCGTTTTAAACCCTGACACCTGTGGACTCTATTTCTGAACGGTAAGAGACTCTGAAGCATGTTAACTGGGTGGAGAGAGGCAAGTGGACTTTTTCCAAGTGTACCATATATAACTCGTATGTGGGGTAACTTCTCTTTAAAACTGGCTACCAAGAAATTTGACTCGATAGAGAAAACCCAAGCCTGAGGTAGGAACGTTCAGAACCCTCCCCTCCGTCTCCAAGTGGATAATTGCCTTGTAAATGAACAGACGAGTCTGCCACGGGGTCCACCTGCATAGCCCCACAATTTAACGGGGGTGTGTCGCCTACCATCTGTTCTAGCCAACTTTTCCGGGGTTCCAACACTTTCCCCTGCGGACACCAAGACGGCGGCTACCGTGGGCAGTCCAGTGTGGGATCCTGGAAGTTCAGGGACGCCCCGGGTGCGTAGGAGGTCTAACTGGAACCAGGAAGAACCAAACTCCAAGTGTCCCCCCAAAACACCGAGATGGGAAAGGGGAGGCGGGAGCAACTCCCAGAACAGGTTGCTTAGGTCGCCACCCGGACGCCAGGGGGGGACGGGCGAAGGGAGTGGTCACAGGAAAACTTCCTGCAAAGCCATGGGTTAAGTTCTACTACTCTGTCCCGGACGCGAAGCAAAGGAATCCCTCACCGGCAGCACGACCCGGCCAGCCCCTTACTCCTTACCGTCCTGCAGGAGCTCACGCACTGTCGCTGCAGCAGCTCCAGAGTCTCGAGCCCCAAGGCCAGCAGCTAGAGGCACACCACCTTCGGCACCTTCCATGTTGGCAGGTGCCGGGTTGATGGCGTCAGCGGCCCCGCCCGGGTCGTGACGTAGAATTGCAGCGCCTCCCGCTCCACCTCGGGCCGTGCCTCCTCAGGCTGCCGGAGGGACTCTATTATAGAGTATCCGCCGCAGCGAGCCTGGCTGGGCGTCTCGTGAGTGCGAGAACAGAAGCGCGCCCAGATCTCAAGTACTCTAGGCTCGGAGAAAGCAAAGGCCACTGGGCCAGAGCTCTCCGCCCTCTCGAGCTCGCCCCAGCCGAGGAGCAGGTGGCAGGCGGATGGAACGTGGCCACCGCGAGCATCACTAAGATCCGGGGCCCTGCGGTTCAAGACAAGGCGTCCAAGCGAAGGTCTTGTGAGGGTTTCGCTTGCTACTTCATATTCTCCGCAGGCCTGAGTGAGTGGCCACCCAGCTCTGTCTGCCCCATACCCGAGTGACAGTCTGGGGGGGGCGGGGAGGGGATGGAGGAAGTAGGGGAAGGAAAAAACACATGCGATCAACAGTGAGGAGCATTAGGGAGAGCTGGTGAAGAAAGAAGTCTGCAGCAGGAAAAAACAGAGCTTCTGACTGTGCTCTCGGTCCCGAGAGGTCGTGACCCTGTGCCTTCCCACCTCTCTGTTTTAACCCACGTGCTCTTGAACGACACCGCCGTGTTTCATGGTTGCAACGTACCAGAGCGCTATAGTGTTGAGGCTGTAACATCACCAAGTTGGTTCCAATGACATCTCTGCTGGCATTGGTTTTAATTACCTACGTTCCACCTCCCCCCCCATCCTAATTAAATGCCAATAGAGTAACAGGGTCAACACGTACGGAAGTATTTGCGTTAGCGATTCTAAAAGCAGTAACATAACTTGCATTTGATTACAGTAGGTATATTGGCAGCAAATTAATTCTTTCCAAATTCAGAACTGTGTGCTTCTCTGCCATCTGCTAACAGTATCTCAAGAAGGTGCTGGGATAGAACTTACCATTTGCTACACTATTACTGTTCTAACTACTTTATAAATCTAAAGTCATTTCAGACCCAAGGCAGGTCAGGTGAGCAGGTGTCATCCTGCCTTGGGTTTTGCCTTCCTTTCACGTCGAGTTTTTCCCCTAGTATGACTTGTTTTCTGTCATGATGCAGGTAGGGTCGATTATTCTGAAATGAGATCCCATGAATTACCAAGGGGCTGTGTCCTCAGATACACAATCAGGTTTCGTGGTTGTACACAAAATTGTTTCATGATTCTTGACTAATAGTAATGAACATCTACGTGTGGATGATGCATGGCGTTTTCTCCTTGGCTTTTTTCTTCCTTAACATTGGAAGATTTTAGAAGACTGTATAGTGTACATTCATCCAATAAAAAACGTTGTGATACGCTACTATACATCTGAGCGTGAGTTCATATGTCTAAGACTACCCATCTGTATCTGGAAGGAGATTATAGATACAGTGGAAAGACATTGAAATAAGTGTACAAGGTGCTGTGGGATGTATGTGTTTATTCAGTCCAGTAGTAGAACTTAACTGCCCGTTGAAATCACCTGCAGAGGTTTAAAACCCACTGATGCCTGTGTCCTTACCCAGAGATTCAAAGTTTTGTTGGGCCTGGGTATCCCGATTGTGAAATGCTCCATGTGGGGCTGGCAGGTTAAGTTGCAAACTGCAACATCAGCCTCTCATGTGGGTGCCCATTCAAGTCCTGGCCACCCACTTTTAGTCCAGCTTCCTGTTAGTACTCTAGGGAAAGCAGCAGAAGATGGCACAAGACCTAGGGCTCCCATGCCCACACGGGAACCTGATGAAACTCCTGGCTCCTGACCTCGGCCTTGCCCAGCCCATGCTGTTGCAGCCATTTGGAAAGTAAACCAGGGGATGGAAGATTCTCTCTCGTTCTCTCACACACATACCACCTTCCAAATAAATACAACAAATCTTAAAAAAAAAAAAAAAATTCACCTCTCTTCCAAATGTACAAGATTGAAAACTGATTCATCCAGGACATAGGTACTTAGAAAGGCCTTCTTGCCATTCATTTTGAGTACAAATGAGGATGAAGTTGGCAGTAATGAGCTCATTGGCACTGACACTATTGAGCCTTCAACTTCCTGTGGTATTTTTTTTTTACTTGTTTTTTAAGATTTACTTATTTTTATTGGAAAGGCAGATACACAGAGAGGAGGAGAGACAGAAAGATCTTCTGTCCGATGGTTCACTCTCCAAGCAGCCACAACAGCCAAAGCTGCACCAGTCCGAAGCTAGGAGCCCAGAGCTTTTTCCAGGTCTCCCACGAGGGTGCAGAGTACCAAGGCTTTGGACCATCCTCGACTGTTTTCCCTAGCCACAAGCAGGGAGCTGGGTGGGAAGTGGGGCTGCTGGGATTAGAACCTGTACCCATATGGGATCCCAGCACACTCAAGGTGAAGGCTTTAGCCACTAGGCCACCGTGCTGGGTCCAACCTTTCTGTGCTGTTTAAAATGCTTATGCCCTCCTTCCTTGGAATATTCTCTCTTGTTCTAGCTTCAGAATTCCTCTGTCCAGTCTTCCTTGCCCTTTTGTTTTCCTCTGCCTATTACTTAAATCTCAGTGCTTTCGAAGATTTCTTCCAAGATGTGGCATTCTTAAGGACTTTGGCCGTGTTTTTTTTTGTTTCACCTTACTATCTAAAGATTAAAGGCTTAACTACACTTTTTTAAACTTGGCCCTCACATGTTTATTCCTAAGCCCAGTAGAAGATTGGAGCTGTAGTACCATAGGCTAAACCTCTATTTGTATCCCATATAGCAGTGCTGGTTCAAATCCTAGCCATTTTTTAAAGAATGTAACATAGAAGAAAATTCAAATTAGCATGAAAAATTGTTACATAGTATGTCAGAGGAACAAATGGAGTTTTCTACATGCCATTTTTCTGCAAGTGCCATATATAGTTTTCTGTATTTATTTGCCTTACAAGTAAAGGCAGAATTCTGTGGTATCTTATTTGACACCGTGAAAAGAAGCTACATTTTTTTCTGAATCCACAAGCCTGATGAAAACTGCGTGAAGTTGGCCACTGCAATGTTGGAGCAATGAGACTCCATCTAATGAAAATAATTTTCTCTGCACAAACTGTCTCTTTCAGATTTGAAATAGACCTGTATTCATGAAGAGCGACTACATACAAGCCTCAGTATGTCAAGAAAAAAGGAAAGATCCCATAGAAATGTTTCATTCTGGGCAACTTGTGAAAGTCTGTGCCCCGATGGTTCGCTACTCAAAGTAAGTGTTGGTAAATGCTGAAGGGGCTCAGATGTGATTTCGCTTTTATACTCTGACTTTTTGAAAACACTGTAAGATCTTGTGGAGTTTTCGATCTCTTTAACTTTGGAATCACAATCTGAGTCCTAATAGTTTACTATGCCTTGGATATATGTTTACCAGAGCAAATTGTATCTCCAGACTTATTGAATATTGAATTGCTGGTGATTTTAAGTCTCACCTATATGAAACTAGAACACATGAATACAGATTTTTGTATGTGTTAGCATACATCTTGGGACAGATACTGAGAAGTACAATGGCTGGTTCATATATCAGTTGTATATTTCGTTATTTTTGAAATTGCTAAACTTCTCTCAAGGACATTACCATTTTATACTTCTAGCTGTAACATATGTGGAATATACTTTGTCCTCATTCTCAATAACTTTTGGCAATGTCACCATTTTTATTTTAGCCATTCTTGTAAGTAAGTAGTAATACCTGCTCTGTGCTTTTAAATCTGCATTCCATTATGGCTATAGGGATGCTAAACATATATATATATACTTTTAATTCCTCCCTTTCAGTATATTGTTTTATAAGTTTTTAAAATATATATTTATTTTTATTGGAAAGACAAAGTCATTGAGAAAAGAGGGGAAGAGAGATTCCATCCACTGATTCATTCCCAGGTTACCATGAACTGTGGCTGGGCCAGACCAAAGCCAGCAGCCAAGAACTCTATCCAGGACTCCCATGTGGGAAGCCTACCCGCAAGCAGCAGGGCCATCCTCCAGTGCTTTCCCAGGTGCTTAAGTGGGGAGCTAGATCAGAAATGGAACAGCAAGCCTGAAGCCCGCACCCAGGTCAGATGCCAGTATCAGAGGAAGCAGCTAAACCCACTATTCCCCAATATTGAACGTCTTTTGTGTGCTTATTTGCTATCTGTATATATTTTTAAAGATTTATTTATGTGTATTGGAAAGTCAATATACAGAGAGGAGGAGAGACAGAAAGTTACTCCATCCGATAATTCACTCCCCAGGTGGCCACAACAGGCCAGTGCTGAGCCAATCAGAAGCCAGGATCGAGCAACTTCTTTCCAGGTCTCCCACATGGATGCAGGGTCCCAAGGCTTTAGACTGTTCTTGACTGATTTCCCAGGCCACAAGCAGGGAGCTGGATGGGAAGAGGGGTCGCCAGGATTAAAATCAGCACCCATATGGAATCCCATCAAGTGCAAGGTGAAGAACTTTAGTCACTAGGGTCTGCACTGAGTCCTGCAATGTGTATATTTTTAAAGAAATTTTTAAAAGATTTATTTACAGGCCTGGTGTGGTCGCCCAGCAGCTAAAGTCCTCGCCGTGAACGTGCCATTGCGATCACTTGGGGAGTAAATTATTGGATGAAAGATCTTCCTCTCTGTCTCTCCTCTCTGTATATCTGACTTTATAATAAAAATAAAATAAATCTTTAAAAAAAAGATGTATTTATTTTGAAGGTAGAGCATCAGAGGGAGAGAAAATAACTTGTTTTACTCCAAGAATGACTGTTATAGCCAGATGTTAAGTCAGGAGCCAGGGACTCCCTCCCGGTCTCCCCCATGTTGGATAGGAGCCCTAGGGTCATCTTCTGTCTTTACAGTCAGATAAGCAGGAAGGTGGGTTGGAAATAAGGCAGCTGGCATCAGACTGAAGCAGCACTTACATCACAGGCAGTGACCTAACCCATGACATCACAACATTGGTCCCCTGGTTTTTTTTTTCTGACATCAACTGCTCCAGCAGAGAAAGGTGGGAAGAATTTGTTCCTCATCATTACCATCAGCCAGAAGTAGGAGTCCATGCTCTCTACTCGGCCTCTGTAATGTCTGGAGCCTGGGGGCTCCTGTGCTGGGCATAGAGAAAGCTCCAGCTTCCCACAGTGGTTTAGCCTCAGTCATTGCTCGTCAAGAGTCGCAATCCTGACCCTCCACAGGTCGCCTCGGACCTCAGGCCCATCGAGGAGGGGAAGAAGCGTCATTGCTGCTAGGCACACATGCCAGTTATTTACAGTTTGTGTTCTGTCCTCCTTGGCTGCCCCTTTTCTGGCTTGGGAACCACTCTGTCTGCGGCCACTGGTGTTTGTAGATGTCCAGTGTCTTCAGTGCCCAAGGCAGCAATGTTCAAGTCAAAAGAAAAATCAAACCAAACCAAACCTCAAAGACAGCCAGGGACCTCGCCTCCCTTTCATTCATTCCTCGGGACCCAGCCTGTCTGTCCTCCTCTCTGCTTGCAGAATATTCTCAAGTTTGGGTAATAAGCAGGGTTTGTGTTGTTATACTTACTAGGAACAATAGGGAAAATGCACTTAATCCACCCTCCCATAGACAGGACTTTGCCTCATAAATATTTAATAATTGACTAAATTACACATGGAAATTACATGTGATTTCAGTGCTTTTCTACATGTATAATTAACATTTTATATGTCTACAGGTTGGCTTTCAGAACACTAGTGAGAAAATACAGTTGCGATCTGTGTTACACACCTATGATAGTTGCTGCAGATTTTGTGAAATCTATAAAAGCCAGAGACAGTGAATTTACCACAAACCAAGGTTTGTAAAATTTTTGATGAACTGATTCTGTAAACTTTTTAAAAGTCAAATTCATCTGGTTTAATCCTAGACAATAAAATTGAGACATTTTATATTAAAAGTCTTTTTAGAATATTTTAATATGTTTATATATATTTACATTTATTATTATTAACTAGGGTATCTCATAAACCTTCCGTGAAAAGCCAACTTCTTTTGGACTATTAGAATAGATTCCTGTCTCATGTGTTCATGTGTCTAGTCTTATCCCATTTCAAGCCCAAAGTGACCTATCTAAAAATGTAGATTTAATCCTATCTTTGGCCAGCTGAAACCTTAGGTGCATTAGACAAGAAACATCTCAAGCTCTGCCTCAAACACACTGCGTCAGAACTCTGTCGGTGCACTAGTCTGTGTATGTTTCATGTTTTTAAGGATCCCCTTATTTACTCATTTGAAATCAAAGCTACTGAGAGAGAAAGGGAGAGAGAGACAGATCTTCCACCTACAAATTCATTCCACAACATCCAGAGCTGGGTCAGGCTGAAGTCGTCGGCCAGGAACTCCATCTAGGTCCAGTGGGTGACAGGTGCCTAAGCGCTTGGGTCATCCTCTGCTTTCCTCAGTGCATTAGCAAAAAAGCTGGATTGGCAACAGAGCAGCCACCCGGGACTTGAACTAGGTGCCACAACATGTGACACCAACATTGCAAGCAGTGGCTTAACATGCTGCACCACAGTGCTGGCCCCGACAGACTGTCTTGAGAGGCAGACACGGAGATGTAATTCTGAACCAGAAGTTAGAGGACCACTCAGACTAAAATTGTAGCACCTGAAACTAATATACATCATTGTGACGATGTAGCCTCTGGATACATCTGCAGCCTTAGGTAAGGTTAGTCTCGTCCCACACCTGAGCTTATTTTACAAAAACACCAAATTGTTTTAAATCCCCAAACATGTCCTCTTCTCTCCCACTTCTCTACCTATAATATTATTGTTAGTCCTGTCTCTTTGTTCTCTCTCTCTCTTTCTCTCTCTCTCTCTTTTTGTCTCTCTCTCTCTCACGTATGCACTCTCTGAAAAATGACAGTTTCCCACTCTAGCTCTAAAAATGTGTGGCCAAGGAAACTTTCCTGCTCACTCCCCAACTGTGTCCACCCTCCTAACCATACTGTCGTGAGCCTCACCTTGCTTGCACTGTTCCAGTTGCTTCCTTACATGCTCATCTCCCCCACCACCTTGTGGGGTTCCTCAGGACTAGAACTACAGGAATACCTCAGTGTGTATCCTCAGCATCAGAGTGATGAAGGCAGAATAGGCCAGCTAGCACTTGTTAAATTCTGCTGTGCTTGCTTCAGCAGCATATAGACTGTTAAATTCTGTAACTCTCTAAGCTGCAAAAGAGAAAGCAGTCTACCTCTCAATGAAAAAAAAGAGGGAAATCCCTCTATCTCAGCATAATTCTAGAAAACACTGGGTTGCCATGGAAATTTTGAATCAGTGCGTCTGAATTAATGCCCGGAAATCTGCATTTTGATAGATATTCATTGATTCTCATATGGATAGTCCTCACCAAAACTTTACAGATGTTAAAATGCATGCATCTAGATTGCAGAACACTAAAGGGAAGATCAGAAAAATGGTCTTTTAAACCTAGGAAGACCATGATTGGCTACATTACAATTTAAACGTTTAGGTGCCAGCTTTGTGACGTACTAGGTTAAGCCAGTGCCTGCGATGCTCCCATATGGGAATTACATTTCTGATCCAGCTTCCTGCTAATGCTCCTGGGAGAGCAGCAAAGAAAGACCCAAGTTTTCGAATCCCTGTACCCACACAGGAGACTTAGAGAAGCTTCTGCCTTTGGCCTGGCCCAACCCAGACTGTTGCTGAACCAAGGGATCTTTCTCTCACTGTTCATCCCTCCTCTCTCTGTAACTCTTAAATAAGTAACTCTGTAATAAATACTTAAATAAGTCTTCTTTTAGTAAACTTAGTCTTATACATGAAAGCACAAATAAACTAGAAACAAACTGGAGAAAAATATAGCACTATAATAGAACACAGGGCTAATTTCTTCATTTTATAAAAATATGACAAGCAATTGAAAATGGAGAACAGAAATAATGGTACATAGAATAGACACAGAAGAGAAAGCTTACAAACACAGATGTATCAGGTTGGATATCCACTGCTGGGTAGGCTGTGAGAACACAAGATCTTTAACCCACATGAATATGTGTTTGTACTGATAAATTCTTGGAACATAATTTTGTAATGTCTACCATAATGTTAGATGTCACCAATAGTTAACACTCCTGGGTATTTTATTTACCCAATAACTATTTCTCATAAAATTATGGCTTCAAGAGTGACTTCATTGAAGCATTTTCTTACAAGAGCTACACATAGAAATATATTATGCAGTGGAATGTGCCATTTGAAACAAACCAAAAAAAGTCTCCATGCATCTCCCAGTTATATCAGGGAAAAAAACAGTATAAATGGCAGTACATATAAAACATTTACTTAAACTGTAAAGGTGTAACATGAAATTGTTCTAGAATATATGAACTCTCCTCTGGAAGAAGGATTTGCTAAGAATGTTGAAAGACTTCATTTTATCATTATTTCTACTGCATGAATTTTACTTAATTGGCTCAAATTTAAATACTTAAAAAACGTTTTAATGGTACCTTATTCCAAGAAACATTTTTTAGGGTGAATGTTCTTATTGTTTTCGCCTATGCAAACATTACAGTTTATGACTTTTTCTGTGGATTAGTTAACGTTGAGCTCTTTATTTTGTCAGGTGATTGCCCATTAATTGTTCAGTTCGCTGCTAATGATGCAAGAATTCTATCTGAAGCCGCTGGCATAGTCCATCCTTATGCAAACGGAATTGACATCAACTGTGGTTGTCCTCAGAGGTAAAGCTCAAAGAAGTTGGAAGAATTTTCAGACAGGTTAGAAAAAAAACTATGTGGACATGGTAAAATACCTTTCTGGTTTTTCAAAAATTAAGAAAGTAAGAAAAACAGAGTTAAAACAAGAGAAGAGCATCCAGGAACATGACTTCCAGAGGTCCTTTCTGGTGGCTCAAGTGTTGTCTAGATCTTTTATAAACGTTTTGTCTCTCCTCATTGTTAAAATCTGTGCAGATCTGCCTTGAAGTCCTAAATAGTTTTGTTAGAATCTGATAGTTACAGGCAATCCCTAAAATGGATTTCTACTACTACCACATCAGATATACTTGCTCTGAAAATAAACTCGGTAGCTTAGGACATCACCACGTTTTAATCAATTGACTTTGAAATCCCTTTTTTGTAATCACGTTTTCCATACTACATTTTTTTTTTTTGTTTGATTCAGTGACCTGGCTGTGACTAAGATGTGCTTACTTTAACTGTAGTATCTCCAACCCTAATGACACTAAGTTATCTGAATAATTCAAAATGTGTCCAAAGAATAAATTCAAGATTTTAAGTACAACATAACCCAAATCAGGTCAGACATATTTATATACTCATTAGAGAGCTAAGTAAGCTATGTAGCGCTACTGGAATGCTGTAAGCCAAACCTACCTTTCTACTGGTGACAGTGATAAAACCTCTTGCTATGCAGAATAAACGTCAAATTTGGAACTTAGAAAAATCAGAAATAATTGCTGTTGATTACAAATTACCCTATTTTGGTTGAATGAATTTTAATGTAGTTCTGTCACTTGCCAGTGAAAACCATTGCCCGAGTACCTGTAATCTAAAAAGAAGCTTTCCTAACTTCATTGATCCGTGTACCTTGTCAGATATCTGAATTTTTAAAAATTTGCTTCCATTTCAGATCCCACAGGGAAATAGTAGACAGATGTGTTTATGTTTCAGCATGTTCAGAATTGTATCTTTTCAGCTTTTTATGACTCATGTGTTCTGTTCCTTTATAAAGGTGGGCAATCGGAGAAGGCTATGGGGCTTGCTTAATAAACAAGCCAGAACTCATTCAAGATATGGTGAAACAAGTAAGAAATCAAGTGGACAATCCCAAATTCTCAGTTTCCATTAAGATAAGGTAAAGACAGCATTTTACCCTGTTGGCAAGATACCTTGGACATATTCATTTTGTTGGCTGCTCTTAAGAACAGCTCTTCTAAATGAATTAGTACCAGGCATGCAGAAAACATCAAAACAAAACACTTAGTGAACAAGTATATGTACAATATTTGTTTGCAATCCCAAAAGTTGGAATAGCTGAATCGGAGGTCCCTGAATAAAATCTTGCAGATAGTGCCATGAAGTAATAATATAATAATATCAAGGCTAGCTAAAATGTACGGGCACTTCAACAATTTAAACATTAAGACTTGTGTGTTGTGAACAGAGATACGACTTTGATATTGTAGGATCCACAATGACCTCATAAGAACCGTAGATCTTTGTCGAAAGGCTGAAGCCGCGGGCGTGTCCTGGATTACAGTGCACGGAAGAACTGTTGAAGAAAGACATCAGCCAGTCCACTATGATGCCATTAAAATCATCAAGGAAAGCATATCTATACCTGTAATTGCTAATGGAGACATCAGAACCTTAAAAGACGCAGAAAATGTGTGGCAGGTTACTGGGACAGATGGTAAGAATGAACTGTTTTGATTTTTTGTCTTAACTAGCAGAAGTATGTGGGACAGTAACAGTAATCTAATTTTCTATCTTTTTAAAAATGTATTTATATGAAAGGCAGAGTTACGGAGAGAAGGAAAGGCAGACAGAGAGATTATCCATCTCTACTTTCACCCCAAACTGCTGCAGCAGCCAGGTCCAGACTCGGAAGAGCAAGCAAGTGCTACTCTGGTCCTTATTAGGAAGAGAAGTGCCAGTCTACGTCCCTCATTGGTCTGCCAGGGCTCTGCCGCCCTGGGGACATGCTGGATCTGTACAACCTCTTCCGGTCCAGCCAGAGGTCTGAATTTTGCCTCAGTCCGACACAAACTCTGCCCACTTCCCCATACCCGTAAATACCTTCACCCTAAAGGAAAGCCAAAAACGAATGGTTTAACATAGAAGTCTTTTACAAAATAAGGATTGCAATAACTAGGTTTAAACTTTGTTTTACAAAAGATCCCAAAATGATGTTGTGATTTAATTACCTAGAATCATTGTGAGACCTTGTGCTAATCCTTATTTTTGAATATTCTCAGTCTGTTTCCTTCAGTTTGAACTGGTACGTGTGGGCTTTGATGCATGGACACGTGTGCTGTTCTTAATTTGTAGGTGTGATGGTTGCAAGAGGACTCTTAGCAAACCCTGCCTTGTTTGCTGGCTACGAGGAAACCCCACTGAAGTGCATCTGGGACTGGGTTAACATTGCCCTTGAACTCGGGACTCCTTACATGTGTTTCCATCAACACTTAATGTACATGATGGAAAAGATTACATCAAAACAGGAGAAAAGAATATTTAACGCTCTGTCAAGCACATCGGCGGTCTTGGACTACCTCACAGACCATTATGGCATTTGATTTCACAAAGTGTTATAATGTTTATTTTATAGCTATGGTACCAAAAAAATCATTGGGAGTACTTCAAACTATCTGCCCTGGTCTTGGCCTTCAAGACGTCAGTAGATAGATGTCCAGAAACTGCAGACCCCAGGAGATCGGGACATCCCGCGCATCCTGTTACACACTGGGATGCAAGGGAGGGTGGATGGAGGGGAGCATGGAACTAAAAGAATCTTGTTTTTTTTAACTTTTTAAATAAAACCTATTTTTAATACTAAGTATGACTCAGCATATCCATGAACAATAAATATGTTTTTAATTTTAAAGAGAAGTGCAGAAAATCGGTAGAACAAATGCCAAGATGCACATAAGATGACGAAGAGCTGATAAATAGAATTGTGATGGGGATTTCCTTTAAAAGTTCCAATGGGAAAAATGAAACTGACACTTCTGATTGAACTATATGCTGCCAAGCGTTGGGACTGCGCATGACGGAACTTAAGTAACGTTTTCTATTATGGGAACCAAGATCCTATGGAGTTCTTTACATAACCTTAAATTTGGTACATTTCAAGGCTCTACATTGTCAGAAGATTGAACTTGATAAGCACACCTGTGCCATTGTTAAGTAACAATCGCACACCATACATGTGAAAAATGTGGCAACTAATCTGTCGGTCATATATCCCAGAGATTTTTCTGGACAACTGTGACCATCTTTTAAGTTAAAAAATACTTTCGACGTTCTGCTTCCAGAGGTGTGTTTATGCTCAGTGGGAATGGGTCATAGTTTGGTAGTGTGACCAACGATTTAATCAGTGCAGTGAATGCACACTGTGAGAATTAAGTCAGGTTGGACAGTTAATTAAATATGACACTACCAATATGAAAGCTATCAGGAGACAGTTACCTGAAACCAATTAAGAGTGAGGAACCTGAAAGGAATGTCTTACCTAAGTGCTGCCATATTTTTCTTTTTTTTTTTTTTTTTTAATTGGAAAGTCAGGTTTACAGAGAGAAGTACAGAGAGAAAGATCTTATGTCCTCTGGTTCCCCTCACCCCCCACCCACCCAAATGTTCTTAACGGCCAGAGCTGAGCCAATCCGAAGCCAGCAGCTCCTGGGTCTTCCATGCAGGTGCAGGGTCCCGAAGCTTTGGCCCATCCTCTACTGCTTTCCCAAGCCACCAGCAGGTTGCTGGATGGGAAGTGAAGCGGGCACATGAATTGGCATCCTATGGATCCAGGCGCATGCAAGGTGGCCATTAGGCTACCGCGCCAGGCCCTGCCATATTTTTCCTAGGCATATTCTGTTGTCATTTTTCAGTTCTTGTCCAAAGACTGATTTAATGGGATAGGGAAGGGAAGCATGGTGGATCGAAACCTCGGCTTCTGCATGTTTGTAAGTTAACTCGAACTGACTCCAGCTTTGAGAGCACAGTAGCCACCCACAGGTGCCCACCCAGAGCTTGGAAAGAACTGGTGTAGAAGGGCGATTTGTAACGTATTTGTTTAAAAATAACATCCTGGTCTCGTGTCAGAGTCCCCTCTTCCCCACCAACTGCGTTACAAGTTCCCTAGTCAGTATGTGATTTAAAAAGAAAAATACTGACTTAAGTGTTTTTGTAAACGTCTGTGTGATATTTCCAGAATAATTCTGCAAGAAGATAGTACTCTCATGTCCTTGCCTGAAAGATTTTCAGTATGAGGGGAGGGTGAGACGTTTAATAATTGGAGTGCATTGTTTCAAAACTTGGGGATATGGCCATTTGAATAAATGCACCCCCATCCGTCTTTCCAGCCCACACCTCAAAATTATTATAACCTCATCTCAGCCCACCGACCACAAAAAGGGAAAAGTTAACATTCAAAGTCCCGGCCCCGGCTCCATCAGGGACTCTGAAATAGTTAATGCCACTGAAGAGGCAGTTGGGAGAGGGACTCCATTTTAAACATCTGGAACATCTGGAGCCCCCACAGCCGCTCCAGGCCCGCCGGGAGCCGCCCTGCTGGAGACGCCAAGAGGTCACATTCCGGGGGAGGGTCCCCCAACGGCCCCCGACGCCCCTCAGCGAAACAGCACTGCGACGCAGACACGCGGCCAGGCCCTCTGTGACCTCAGCAGGCACCGGCGCCCCGGGACGAGTGGGGGCGGAGGCCGCCGGCGCGCCCCTCCCCGACGCCGCGTCAGACGTCCCGCGCGTCGGCGGCCGGCAGCAGCGCGGGGCAGCCAGGCGGGCCGCACGCAGGCCGGGGGTAAGGCCGGCCGGGCGACCGACCCCCGGGAGCGGGAGGCCAGACGCGGGCGGAGCGACCGGCCCGAGGCGCGCGGCGGGCGGCGCTCACGCCGGGGTGGGGAACCTGAGGCCCCGCAACGCGGGCTTGCGGAAGAAGGGAGGCGTTAGGCGGCAGGCGCGGCACCGCCGAGCTGGCCCCGAGAGCGGTGGACGTGATCGGTGCCTCAACGGCCGCCTGTCCCCGGCCCGCCCCGGAGCGCTTGCCCTCCCGTCGTCACTGCTAGGCCCTGTGGGGGTAGCGGGAATCCATCAGACAAGGGTATCCCCACCACCCCCCTGAATCCTGCTCCCCGAGACCTTTAACCCAGTTTCCTTTCAGACAAAGCAAAGTTATGTTCTCTGTTTAGGTGTGAAGAAGAAAAAAAAAAATGACAATCCAGTGGGTGGCGGTGGCATCTTTCCTTTATGCTGAAATAGGACTCATTTTAATCTTCTGCCTGCCTTTCATTCCTCCTCAGAGGTAGGAAAATCTTCCAGTCCGGCGCAGTCATTGGTTTGCTGCTTTTAAGCTTTTCTTAGGATTAAAATGTGTTCAAAGCCGATTGGCCAAAGATGACCTTTGAAAAAAAATAAGTTCTTCTGACCAATCAGGTGGTAATGAGAGTATTGCAATATACCTGAATGGGAAACATCTGTATAGAGGAAAAAACTTTTTCGTTCGTTTTATTTCTGCTGGGTCCAGATACGTAAGGAAATGGTTAGCTTTCCAACACAAGCTCTGTCTTTTCCTCCAGTGTTTTATCTTTATGTTATTGCCCCTGAATTGGAGCAATGAACTAAATGAATAGTTAAAAGATATTTACAGCATTGGTGCAAAAAAAAAAAAGTTTGGTAACCAAAAAAACCAATAAATTCTTAAATGAGACCTTACATAATAATAAAGTAGTTTCATTACTGCTTAAAGACACGAAATTAGTGTGATTTAAAAGTACTGAGTATGAGAACTCCCAGGGCCGTGTATTCATGTCAGGGCGATTGGTGCCCTTTATCCTTCAGTTTAAGGGGTGGGCATTTGGCACTGCAGCGAAGAGATCACCTGGGAGGCCCACACTCCTGGCCAGAGTTCCAACCCAGCCTCCTGCCTGGGTTAGGTAACAGGTGGTGGCTCACCTGGTAGGTTGCTGCCAGGCTTAAAAGAATCCCAAGTTGAGTTCCTTGGGTTTTGACTTAGCCCAGCCTCACTTGTGGACTTTTGGGAAGTAGATCCACAGGTTAAAAGCCCCATACTTCTCAAGTACAAGTTTAGAAAGAAGAAGAAAAGAAAAACAGCTGGGTTGCACATTCAGAATCTCACAAGTGATGAAACACACATGCAATAAACATGCTGCAATACGTGTGTTACTCATGGCATGAAACCAGGCCTTTCCTCAGTGACTTCAGAATCTCAAAACTACTGCACAGTAAAACCTTGGAGCTGCAAGAGACATAACATCTCTTGGCTCGGAGTCCCGGGGATTGGAGTGGCCTCAGCTCGTTTAGCTGGTGTGCAACAGGTTCCGGATGAGAAGCTGGGTTTCTACTACTTCACACCACCTCTTGCTAAACTTATTCCAAACCCTCAAAACACCCTGTTTGCTTTGGCAATACTAGCAGTGAAACATAGTTGTAACATCACATTTATGAATGATAACTATCTGATTTTTACAAATAAATAAAATCAGTAGGTTTCTCCTTCAAAATTATGGATCCGTTTTTTTTGCTTGTATGAAATAAAATCTTTCAGGGACAGCGCAATAGCTCTACTGGCTAATCCTTCACCTCGGAGCACCAGCATCCCATATGGGTTCTGGTTCATGTACAGGGCTGCTCCACTTTGCAGCAACTCCCTGCATGTGGCCTGGGAAATCAGCTGAAGATGCCCCAAAACCTTAGGACTCTACCCAGAAGAAGCTCCTGGTTTCTCATCAGCTTAACTGGCTGTTGCGACCATTTGGGGAGTGAACCAGTTTTTTGGAAGATCTTTTCTCTGTTTCTCCTTCTCTCTGTAAATCTGCCTTTCCAGTGAAAATTAGAAATAGAATCTTTTTATGCATCCTACCCAAGTAGGCATTAGAAGTGGAGAGCCAGGGTTCAAACTGGCACCCATAGCAGATGCTGGCATTGAAGATGGTGGCTTTACTCACTGTGCCACAGTGCCAGCCCCAAAACTGTTTGTAACACAGAATTTGAATAGTGTATGTAAGAATGCTCAGGAATGGATGCATAGAGACAAGGAACTACTTCATCTCTTTCTCGTGTTATTTAGTTTTTATAAACTAAAAATTTTTTTTAAATTAAGTGCTCAGGGACTGTTTTAAGTGTTTGTATGCCTCTTTTTGGATTTTATGTGTTACTCATTTAGAATATCTGTGTTCAGAGTGCTATGTTTCCAAGCTATACAATGGCTCGCTTTGTCACTGCTTGCCATTTATAACTTATGTTTTCTTTGTGGATTTGCCTACACTGTTTAGTCCACATAGGCCATTTATTTTCCTATCTCATGACCTCAATTTTTAGATCTTGATCTGGGTATAACTAAATGAATACTTGTTAATATATACCAGAGTGTGCCAAGCTACCAAGTTACACATTTAGGAGGTTTGAGGGTTTTTGTTATTTATGTACTTATTTTTGCTTTACTGTATTATGTAATACCTCAGTAAATTTAGAAAATTCCTTCATGATTAGGGAAACTTTCCTTAAAGTAGATGTGAAAAGCATGCCAGCCGAATATAAATGTTCAGATGGTGGAAGCCCCTATTCCCAAGAGGTTGTAAATCGCTTAACCAGTTAACCAGCCTTTGTGAGTCAGTTGACCAGGGAAAACGGATGCAAAGTGCTGTATTGTATCAACAGTTTAGCACTTACCTAAAAGCTTATCTCGTAAGGCTGTGCTTAGTGTGTTTACTTTAAAAGTGAGCTTTGCTTTGGAATATTTAAGCCACCAGCAAAAGATAATCAAGTGGTACATCATTAAACTTGAACAAATCATTCTCCGTTTCCTGAGACATCCAGTGTCATGTCTGAGAATTGATTTAAAAGTTAAGTTTCTATATCACTTTTCACTTCTTGTGCTGTTATCAAAATGTTACTTTAGAAATTTGGGAAGCATTTTAAAACCTTTTGGGTTGTCGTACCTAATGATTATATTGCTTTATAGATGGCAGAAGATTTTCTCATTTAGTGTCTGGGGTAAAATTGCAAGCTTCTGGAACAAGGCTTTCCTCACCATTATAATCCTATTGATTGTTCTGTTTCTAGGTAAGTACCAGATCCAGTAAGCATCGTTACAGTTGTTGTTGTTGTTAATGAGTTCTTTGGTTTTTATTTAAATTGTTGTTTTCATTGATATACGGTTGACTTTATATAGTATTGTGAAAGTATATGGAGTAGCTACATATATAAACACTTGATAAATACTGGCATTCCATGTACACATGTGTGAATGTTCACAAAGTATGGTGATTCCTAATCTATTTTTAGATTCTTATTTTAAGGTTTAGGTGCAGGGGGTTGGCATTGTGGCTTGGAACATTAAGCCACCACTTGTGCTTAATTAAGAGTGCTCTTTCAAATCCCAGTTACTCCACTTCTGATCCAGCTTCCTGCTAGTGGGCCCAGCAAGGCAGTAGGAGACAGCCCAGGAAGTTGGGCCTCTGCCACCCATGTAAGCAACCAGAGTAGAGTTCCTAGATGCCCAGGATCTTACTATCTGTTAGGGAGACCAAAACAAAAAAAAAAAAAAAGAGTATATTCTCAAAAGATGGATTTTCACACCTGAACTCATGTGACGAACCACAGTCCAAATGTAGGCATATTATAAATACTGTACAAAATCACCTTTAATTATATGTTTAAGATGTATATGAAGCAAATCAATTTTGTATTTGTACTTGGATTCATCCCCAAGATTTATCACTATATATGTGTAATTATTCTTGCCCCAAGGATGTCAGCTAAGGGATTTTTAGCTTGTTCTAGCTTTTTAGAATGTTGAAATATTGTCTGGCAGTGTCTTAGAAATTAAAAGTAGAGGGGCTGGCATTGTGGTATAGCAGGTTGTGCCGTTTCCAATCCACCTGACTGCTGATACACCTAGAACAGTAATGGAGGATGGTCCCAAGTGCTTGGACCCCTGCACCTTTGTGGGAAACCCAGACAAAGCTCCTGGTTCCTTACTCTTGGCTTCAGCCAACCTCAGCCGTGCATGTTATAACTATCTGGGGAATCAATCAGCATGTCAAATTCTCTCTCTCCCTGTTATCTTGCCCTTCAAGTAAAATAAATATTTTAACAATTTTTTTTGTTTTGAAAGTAGGACCTGGTGTTGTGTACACTACCAGCATCCCATTTGGGTGCCAGTTTAAGTTCGTGCTGCTCCACTTCCAATCGAGCTCCAAACTAATGTGCCTGGGAAAGCAACCACAGTTGACCCAAGTACTTGGACCCAAGCCACCCAAGTGGGAGACCTGAACCAGGCTCTAGGTCCCCGGGTTCAGGCTCCTAGCTCCTAGCTTCAGGCTGGCCCAACCCCAGCTGTTGCTGGGGTTCATTTGGGTAATGGATCAGTGGATAGGAAATATCTCCCTTTCTGTTACCCTCACTTTTAAATAAGTTTTATTTTTTAAAAAGGTAGAATAAATTGAAGTTACACTTCTATGATTCTTTTAAGAGGTAGTACTAAGCTCAAAGAGGTTAAGGGACTTGTCTAAGATCACTCAGCTGCTTTTTTTTTTTTTAAGATTTATTTATTTATTTATTGGAAAGTCAGATATACAGAGAGGAGAAGAAAGAGAGAGAGGAAGATCTTCCATTCACTGATTCACTCCCCAAGTGGCCACAACGGCCAGTGCTGCGCTGATCTGGAGCCAGGAACGAGGAACTTCTTTCCAGGTCTCCCACACAGGTGCAGGGACCCAATGCTCTGGGCCATCCTCAACTGCTTTCCCAGGCCACAGGCAGGGAGCTGGATGGTAAGTGGAGCCGCCAGGATTAGAACCAGCGCCCATATGGGATTCCAGGGCATTCAAGCCGAGGACCTTAACCACTACACTATTGCACCAGGCCTAGCTATTTTTTTAAATGCCAATTTTCGAGGGTGTGTTTCCCCTTTGAATTCTCTTAACAACTGTATTACGAGGTAAGTAGATTTTAAGGGAGCCAACATGGGCACATAATCACTTGGTGTGATATACTGTTCTATGAGAAAGTATGTACCATGTTCCAAACCACCAACCTCTATAATGGAATCCTCTAGAAAACAGAACATCCATCCATTGTAAGGAGGTAGAGTATTGTTAAAACACAAGGGCAATTGGCAGTTGTCTCATGGTTGTGAATGGGTTTGTTCCCCATGGTATATGATTGTTAATATTATACATTCACTCACCAACCATATAATAATTCGTGGCAAGTGAGTAAAACAACTAGAAGAAAACAGGTCCCAGCTCTGCCACCAGTCAGCTGGATGACCTTTGGAGTGACCCCTCATCTCTTGGAGTTTGAATTATGCATCTGTGAAATAAAGGTTGAGTTGGAAGTAATCTCCCGCAGCTCTGACTAGTCCTGCCAAAAGTAATGTGATTTTCGGAGTCAAAGGTGAACACTAAAGATCTTACTAGAGCTTATCATGAGTTTCTGTAAATGAAGTGTCTAGAGTAGCCAATTGCAGAGACAGAAAATAGACTGCCAGGAGCTGAGGGCACAGCTTTCTTTTAGGGGTGTTGAAAATGTTCTGAAATGAGATAGTGGTAATGGTTAACACAACGTTGTGAATATACTAAAAACCAGTTGATTATACTCTGAATTTTATGGTTTAGGAGTTTGGGTTTTTTTTGTCAATATGGCTGCTATTTAAAATCCAAATGATTCTGCTAATTAGCATGTCTTTTCTTGTGAGGTACTCTTTCCCACTAATACTTACAGTCCCCTAAAAGGAGCCTGTGTAATCTGAGGCACGTGCCTTCCCTAGGATGTACTTGAACCCTGTGACTGGTAATGCCTCAGCATGGATGCTAATAAACTGATACCCATGTTCCACTGGAAAGAAGGGGGTGCTCCTGGATCTGAGGCTTACCAAGATAGAAGCATCAAATGGGCAACTGTCTACATATTTCCAGTAGCATGTGCCAACCAGCCTTGGGAAAAATGCCAGCATAGATCCCATCCCACCATAACAAACCTGTAACAGTTGAAATTTCAGTGCAACTGGATGTTTTCAAAATCTCAAAAATTTGAAGCAATAATAGGTATAATGAAGTAAGTACAATAGAACAGTCTGCTACAGTTGATTGTAATGAGCCATTATTACATCTGTTATCAGTAGTTTGAAACTCGATCGATTATTTAGGGTTAGAAAAAGTAAAGGGTAACAGATGAGAGACAGTACACTGATGCCACGTTAAAATACAAATCCTACCATAATCCAAAATTGACTTCTAGTGCCTATTTAGAGGGTACATGGTGCCCTGCCATGTTCCCTAGATGGAAAGGCAGAGAGCCCCTGACCAGGGCTCATCATTAACACACTTGGTCAGTTATTTTGAAACTGCTCATTTTTAATAGTCTTAGGTTTTTAAAACCCAAAAATTCTATTTTGTCTTTTCCTGTGATAGATGCAGTGAGAGAAGTACGGAAATACTCCTCTGCCCATGCCATTGAAAAGGGCACAACCACCAAACCTGGGACCTTTGAACATACACAGATGAAACTCTTTAGGTCTCAAAGAAATCTGTACATCTCTGGATTTTCATTGTTTTTTTGGCTGTAAGTAAAAAAGTAACAAGCACCTATTAAACACATGATATATGTCTTCTTTTTTTTTCCATTTCTACTATAGATTTTTGTTGTTGCTGTTAACACCTTCCTGTCTGAAAGAACTCAGATAATACACCCAAATTACAAATAGCTATTTTTGTGTTTGCTGATTCCCTAAGTCCTTGAACCCTCTGGTCCCTGCTTCTCCTCCCTTGCCACCATCACCTTCTCTGATATTATTCTCTCTGAGTATTGCAGTCCATTCCGGCTGCCTGACCTGCAGTGTGTATTCATTCCTTCCATCTTCTTGGGTCTGCCAAGTGCCTCTCATCTGATGGCCTTCACACAGGTTATTCCTTCTGCCAGAATTCTCTTCCCCCCTTTAACCTGGCTAACTCTGACTGATCATTAACCTCTTTCTCAGAAAAGGCCCCCCAGGTCGGTAGGTCTTCCTGTGGTGTGTCTACTTTACCGGCCAGTATCATTCACAGTATAATTTGTGCTGTTTGACTGTTAGCTGCACTTCTGTGGCCCCCGTGCCTGGGGCCAGTGTTCAAAGTTCTGAGTAAATGCCTACTGAATGAATAGTTGGAAAGAAGAGTTACCACCTCCACAATGAAAGTCAGATGTCAATGAGCAGTTTTTAGGCCTGGCTAGCCTTATACAATGCTCTTAAAATAGCAAATTTTCAACTGGTTTGTGGGCCCTGCCACACCATCTGAAATTCTCCAGTTTCTGCTCATCCAGGCTAAGGCCTCTGAAGCAAATACCAAGGCTATAGAGCCTGAATTCCAAATCTAGTCTTCTACAGAAATCCACATGTGAGGCATACATGCTGGCTTTGACTGAGAGCCATGAAATTAAAAAACAAAATCACATGTCCAATTTAAACATCAACTCTCTTTCCCCACACCTGAGCCTAGCAGGGAGTCTTCTGACAATGATTGTTTGAAATTCAAAGCTTCTGATGATTACTTTCGTTACACATTATTCCAAGTATGTATATTTTTTTCCTTAGAGTGCTGAGACGTCTGGTTACACTTATAACTCAGCTGGCAAAAGAAATGTCGAACAAAGGAGTACTTCAAAGTCAAGCCGAAAATACCAACAAAGCTGCCAAGAAATTCATGGAAGAGAATGAAAAACTGAAATGGGTATTTAAGTTTCCCTTTAATAGTTTGTGTTTTGAAGAAGTGACATACTATTTTCTCAGGATTGAAACAAATACTTCCGAAGTTCTAAGTAGAAAATGACAATAAAGAACAGTATCATTCTATAGAATGATTCTTTCAAAAATATTTCCGCTACCTTTCAGATATGGTTGTTCTCACAGTTTACCTTTGTAGTAAATCAAGAGCATTCTGAGAATACACATTTCAGTTCCTGCTTTGCCATTGATTTTTGCCTGAAGCCAGTGTTTAGACTTTTTCTGTTTCTGTTTCTTTTTCAATTCATTTTTGGCTATAAGTGGGCATACAGAAGACAGAGGAAGGTAGATGCTAGAGTGGTGTTTGCACATACTAATGAAAATTCTTTAATTTGGTGATGTTGCTGGTATTCCAATTCTGTAAGAACCTTATGCTATCCTTCCTCTGACATCTAGGAAAAGTAGATCAGGTTTTTAGCATTTAAAATTGAAGATTAAATCTCAAAACTTGAGTCTTTTCAAGTTGATATTAAGCCCCATGAATTTCACTAATTCTTTAAGATTCTTATCTTATTCTTTCAGATTCTTATAAGAAAAAAAAAATCAGTGGATCTATTCAGAAGTGAAACATTTCTCAAATGATGTGTCCTCAAAAACATGCAGTAATACAGGCCTGTACAGGCTCAAGTTAAGCAGCTGCTTATAACACCCACAACCCTCACAAGTGTGCCACTTTGAGTCCCAGCTACTCGGCTTCTAATTCAGCTTCCTGCTAATGAATTCTGGGAAGCAGTGGATGATGGCTCAGATGCATTGATCTCTGTTACCCACATGGGGGATCTAAATGGAGTTCCAGGCTCTTGGCTTTTGCCTTGGTCAGCCCTGGCTGTTGATGAGCATTTTGAACCAGCAGATGGAATTAATACATCTCTGTCCCTTCTGTCTCTTGTTTCTCTCTCTCTTTCGTATAGATAAAAGTAATTCAACATTTTTTAAAATGCTTAAATGGGGCTGGTATTGTAAAGTAAGCTTCTGCCAACAGTACAGGCATTCTATATGAGTACCAGTTCAAATCCTGGCTGCTCCACTTCTTACCCAGCTCCCTTATGTGCTCAGGAAAGCAGCAGAAGATGCCCAAGAAGCTTAGGCCCCTTGGTGTAGCAGGTAAAACCTGCCATCTGCTACATTGGCATCCCATAAGGATACCGGTTCAAGCTCCTGCTGCTCCACTTCCCATCCAGCTCTCTGCTAATTCACCTGGGAATGTAGCAGAAGATGACCCAAATACTTGGGCCCCTGCACACCTGTAGGAGACCTGGAAGGAGCTCTTGGAGCCTGGTTTCAGCTTGACCCAACTCTGGTCATTGTAACCAACTGGGGAGTGAATCAGCAGATGCAAGATCTTTCTCTGTATCTCTGTCTCTTTCTCTCACTCTCCTTGCCCCATCTTATCTGCCTCCCGCCCCATCTGTTATCTACCTTTCAAATAAATAAGTCTTAAAAAAAGAAAGAAAGAAAGAAATGAAAAGCAGCAGCAGCAGCTTAGGCCTGTGCCACATGTGAGACTTGGCAGAGTTCCAGCTTCCCAGCTTTGATCTGTTCCAGCCCTAGCTGTGTGAAGAGTGAACCAGTGAATGGAAGATCTCTCTCTCTCCCTCTCTCTCTCTCTTTTCTCTTTCTCTCTCCTCACCCCTCCTTCTCCCCCATCCCCTGTCTCTCTATAAACTTTTCAGGTGAATAAATAAATTTTTTAAAAAGTAGAAATACATAAGTAAAATAATGCAACACAATATTTTTTCCATTACACAGAAATGCAGTCATATGTTACTGCAGATTGCAGTTATGTGAAAAACATGTTGAGAATTTAAATCCTTATCCAAAGCTCAGCCTCTTATGGAAAGAACTGCAGGAGCTGGCATTGTGACTTGCACATCAGGGTGTCAGTTTCCAGTATTAGATTCTCCATTTCTGACCCAGCTTCCTGCTAATGTGCCCGGGAAGACAGCAGAAGATGGCCTGAATAGGTTGGCTCCTGGAACCCATTGTGATAGATACAGCTAGAGTTCCTGGTTCCCACCTTCAGCCCAGCTCCAGTGTGGCTCATAGCTGGCTGTTATAGCCATGTGGGGAAAGAGTCAGTGAGTGGAAGTCTATATATTTCACTCCACCTTCAAGTACCAGCATCCCATATGGGCACTGGTTCATATTCCTGCTGCTCTACTTCCCTTCTACCCCCTGCTTATGGCCTGGGAAAGCAGTGGAGGATAGTCCAACTCCTTGGGACACTGTACCCATGTGGGAGACCCAGAAGAAGCTCCTAGTTCCTGGCTTCCGATCAGCTCAGCTCTGGCTATTGCAGCTGGTTAGGAAGTGAACCAGCAGATGGAAGATCTCTCTCTTCTCTGTAAATCTGACTTTCCAATAAAAAGAAATACATCTTTTTAAAAAATCTTTCAAGGAAAAAAAAATGTAGCACTACCTGCTTGCAGTTTTCTGTTGAGTTAACTGTTACATGGTATAACACAAACCCTTTGAAACTATTAAGAATAAATCAAAACTAATTGCAAAATGTTATAAATGATACCACAATATCATGCTCACCCGTTCAGAGCCTGTGTGTTATTGCTTAGATACCTGCCCTATTTCTACTAGAGTGAAAAAAAGACTTCTTGTCACAGAAACAGAATTCCAAAGAGCCAAGTACCTTTGACTAGAAGGTTCACCAGTATCTTTTCCCAGAAACTTCAGTAGTGTCAGCACCGGTTTATTAATTGCTTTGTTTTGTTCTGTTTTTAAAGCATAGCGATCTAGCAGTGCATTGTCAATCCCCTTATATCTAGGTCTTGAAAATTGCGCTAGTGGTATTTCTGTATTCGAAAGCTAGGAGTAAGTCATTTTTGTTCTTTCTGGAACACTTCAGCTGCACAGTCAATCTCGTTTTGTTCCTTAATGTTACTTGCTTCCTTTTCCCTCCTTTGATCTCTTCATGATGGCAAAAACAAAAGCACAGCCATCAAAGCTTTGATTAATATATGACTAAACTCAAAAACATACAGCCAGTGTTTGTAGAGACTTACAAGGTAACCTATCTTGATTTAAAATTATATGTATCATCTTAGAGAGTTGTGAATTGGGACTACTGTGAGAATGTGGCTAGTTCTCCCTTCAGCTGTTTTCCTCTTGCCGTTTGGCTCTGAGAAAATTCTATGAAGTGTTTTTATACTTTTGATACTACCATGTTTTCCCTGCATACACCGTAATCAGTGCACTGTCTGTCAAAAGAAAAGAACAGGTACCTCCTTCCTCAACATGGTTTTGAATCTCTCCTTTTAGAGTACTTTTCACAGGCAGTCAGCCCTCACAAGGAGATTGGTTTGCTGATGGCCCATTGCCTTTGTCTTTCTCTCCTTTGACTCCATGTCATCCTGGCCCCTTGTGTAGCTCTGACCCTGGGACAAGTACTCAATCACCGGAGGAGCCCAGATAATGTAGCTCAGCTGGGGCAGAGGGCAGAGAAAGACTCAGCTGAACACAACACTGCCAGGAAATCATTGGCCATTAGAGTGACCAGTGAAAGTCATGGATGAAAATGTCAAAAGATAATTTCATTTCTGAGCTGCTCTATGGAGATTTGAAAATATTAGCTAAGGAAGAGTAAAATGAGAGTGAGAGAGAGAGGAAGGAAAGAAAGAAAAGAGGGGAGAAAGAAAAGAAAAGGAAATTTCGTCTTGCTCATCAAAAGCCCCTTATCTGGTGAAAGCACATTATCCAGAGATCCAGGGGACTTGAGTGCTAATTCCTACTCGACCTGCAGCTAGCAGCACGTACTGCATCAGGCCACCCACTGTGTCCTCGAGGTTTCTATGCTGTAAAGAATAGTTTCATACTGGGCCAAGTATTACTTCAAATGCTTCTAAGGAAGATATTAACTCATTTAATTCTCAACAGTTCCAGAAATTCATATTACATGTGTAAAGCAGACACAGAAGCACAGAAAGGTTGACTTACCCCAAATCACTCAGCTAATCGGTGACAGATTGGAACCTGAAGAGGCCCGACTCTTGAAATTGGCACTCTTCACATTGTTTTCTGCCCTCAACTCCGTGTCCTCCTGTGGAGTGACTTGCATTTGGTTTCCTTGACCCTTTTCCATTCTGATACTCATTTACTAATAAATGAAATCATGTTGAAGGGCCAATTACCTTTTGCTTTAACTGCATTAAAGTAACCATGACAGAGCTTTGGTTCTCCCCAGTTCCTTTTTTTTTCTTTTTTTTGGCCATCCATCTGCCAGAGTAGTGTAAGCTCGTAGGACAGTGAACACACAGATGATGGTATTTGGTTGTTACTGAGCCTCAGATTCCAAGCTCTTGGTCTTTATCCAGCATAAGATTACCCGTAATAATTTTGGACAAGTCTGCAGGTGTAGTAATGAAAGCCTATTTATAGAGGCTAGTACAAACCCATCTTTTCCAAGTCAATAGCGTAGTAATTCAAGCAGACACTAAACATTCCTGCAATTCAGTGGTTCCCTTTCCATTTGAGCAGTAACTGGAGATTGTATGAACTGAATCCTGTAAAATAGAACAGCTTTGAACTTGAAATAGATAAAAGATTTGTAGATGTTTTGGTTTGTTGTTGTTATTTGTCTCCCTCTCTCTTCAAATTTGTTGTTGTTGTTTCAGAAGGCATGAGCTTCCTTCAGTTGCAGAATATGCCTCAGTCCTGTTTCCAAAAAATGTTTCCTGAGGTTATCTAATATATTCATTACAGCTTCAGTTCTTTTGAGCTCTACCTACTCTGTGTTATAAGACAGGGTATTGTATTTGGTTTCATGTAAGCTTTTGTGTTCTTATCTCATCCATTCTATGAGATTGAAGTTATCTTGACAATAGAGACTGTATCTATTACAATTTTATCCTTCAGATCACCTGGCAGTGTAAACTGTCTACATGAAGTCATTGTTCAGTCAAATGTCATGAGTTTTGTTAGCCTACATACGTTAGGAAATGAATCACCAGCAGTAACAATTTCTGTCTTCTGTCTGTCCACAGTTCTCATCGACTGCCTTTTTAGTAATGGGAGCTGTCAGTATCACATTGCTGCCACTTTCTTCAACTGAGCCTTGCCACTGCATATATGTTATAATTTGGCTTTCTTAATAACCTAAAACTCCCAATATTTCATGAAGTTAATTTCTTAGTTCTAACGGTGATGATTGATTATATCTAGACATTTATGTTGTGGAGTTTATTGTTTGTGATCTTAATTTTTCTTGCTTGAAAAAGATAAACTACGGACATGCATTTTTAAAGTTGAAATGGATTTTAAAACATAAAAAGCCCTCTAAAGGATTACTTGATTAAACTAATTTGGAGACTATCAACCAAGATCAGATGGGATTTCCTAACCAGAGAGTTGGTGCTATCATTTTCAATTTTTCTGTCCTCATCCAGACAATAATTTTTTTTCTTAATAATTTGTATGGAAATTGAGTAGAAAACTGCAGTTGGGACGTAATGATTTACAATTAATATCATCCTCGGAACTGTTTGTTTAACTGATATCACATGCTTAATTAGGGAAGAGAAGGTCATATTATTTACATAAATATTTTTGAGAACATAATTTTAATTGCAGCCCAGCCAGAAATTATGGTTTTTAAATTCAGAACTTCCAACCACAAAAACACACATCTTTTTTTTGTACATGTTCTAAGCACTTTTCTCTTAGCAAAAGTACATTGTAGAAAATGAAGAAGTACTGAAAAGGGTAACGAAAATAGATAGCTTTTTCTCAACTCTTCCATTATGTGAAGGATCAGTGATTTTAAGTAGATTATTCATCTCATATCCTATTAAAGTGTCTGGCTATTATAATCTAAGCTTACTTCTTCCATTGACTCTCTTTTATGATAGATCTTGAAAAGCCATGGCAAGGATGACGGAAACGTGTTGGAAAAAGAGAACAAAAAACTAGTGGAAGACCAGGCAAAACTGAAAACCGAATTAAAGAAGACTTCAGAGGGTAATTTTACATGCTTGGGTAAAACTGCAGAGAACAGCACGCTCTTGTATGCTGTTACGCTTCATGTTTTGCCTAAAACAAACCCAACACCTGAATGTCCTTTTGACCAAAATACCAAGAGTGATCTATGTATAAATTCCTCCTCAAATATGAAGATAAAACATTGTTTCAGCCAAGAGAAACATGTTCTGGTATATAGAAAACAACGTAGGTGTTTCAGATTTGTGTTGTAAGTACAAATGTTCCTGCCTTAAGCAAAAGAACTATGTTCCCGAGAAGTTGCTTGTAAACACACTTTTGTAAAATGAATCTCGTTTTCCACCCTGTTCCTCTTCCTTCAGAGAAGCAATCCCTGGGACAGTCTTGCTTAGAAGTCATTTGGATTATTACTGTGGTGGACATTGTGATACAGTGGGTTGTGCTGCCGAATCCTCTGTCTAGCTCTCTCCTGATGTGCCTGGGAAAGCAGCAATGACCCAAGTAATTATGTTCCTACCACCCTGTGGGAGACCTACCTGCGACTTCCTGCGGCTGGCTTGGACCTCACCCAGCCTAGCTATAGGGAGCAGTTAGCAGTTTTAGCTAACTAAAAGGAAAGCATTCCCTGAAAGATGTGCTGATCTGCCAAGGCAACTGAGAAACAAATAGATTACACTCTGGCCTTGAAATGGAGATGCTACCTCCATTTTCCTAAAGGCAGTGATTTCTTCTATAATTTTTTTTTTACGAAGTATTCTGTAGCATTTCTTTCACCTGCAGTGTCATAGCATAGAAAAGTAGATATGCCAAATTCCTTGTCATTAATAGGTTCTTACTGTGGCTGCCCTCGCTGGCAGTTTATCTTGATATAATACATTCTTTGATACTAGCCAGATACTAGAGGATTTCTCTGCCAGTCAGCATTAAGATAGTGGTCATTGCATAGACATTCTCAATTTTAAATCTTTGCTACTTTAAACTGGAAATAAATTGGGAGAATATTCAGTCACAGAAGCAAGAAGCTACTTTATACCATTAGCAAGCTTAGATTTTAAGTAGCTCTCAATATATTATTATTTTGTTGTAATTTAAATAGCCTGCTGAATATCTGTGTGCTACTTGGATAAGAAAGCCCAAAGAAAGTAGTTAATTCTAGAAACAGGAATCCACAGGGAGAATAGACATTTGGTACAGCAGTTAAAATGCCACTTCCCATTTCAGAGTTTTAGGGTTTGGGAGCCAGCTCTGCTTCAGCCAGATTGCTGGCAGCACACACCCTGCAAGGCAGCAGGTGAGAATGAGAAGCCCAGATGGAGGTCCTGCTTCTGATTTCCTTCCGGCCTAGTCCAGCTTCAGACTGCTGTGGGCTCTTGGGGAGTGAACTGACAGACAAAAGAGCTCTCTTTGTCTCTGCCTTTCTAATAGAATGAAAAAGAATTGATTTGTTGTTATTGTCATTTTTTGGTCAAAACTACTGGAGGATACTTTCATGATACAGAATTGTTTGTTTTCATGCTTCAACTTTAAAGTGGAAAATAAGACAGTTTATAAGACAATAAGTTAAAAAAATAAATTGCCCTTCTGGCTAAATTAGTACACTACATGGTCAGTAGAGCATAGCCCCAGGTTTAAAAATCTTGTAGTTGGTACTGTTGTTTTTTCTGCAACTCCAAAGGATTTGCATCATAATCAAGAAATTATAATGTGTGTGAAAATGAATTTAGTGTAGTGATCTACCCTGTGCAAGACATTGGAAAAGAAAAAAAAACTTGTGGAGTTTTTTTTTTTTTGTGTGTGTGTGTGTGTGTGTTTTAGATTTATCTATTTTTATTGGAAAGGTAAATTTTCAGAGAGAAAGAGAAACAGAGAGAAAGATCTTCCATCTACTGATTCACTCCCCCAAATGGCCAGAGTGGAGCTGATCTGAAGCCAGGAGCCAGAAGCCTCTTCCGGGTCTCCCACATGGGTCTCCCAATGCTTTGGCCCATCCTCTACTGCTTTCCCAGGCCACGGGCAGGGAGCTGGATGAGAAGTGGACCAGCTGGGACACAAACCAGAGTCCATATGGGATCCTGGTACATGCGAGATAAGGACTTAGCCACAAGGCTATCACACCAGTCCCCTTGGGTTGTTTTTTAACCTAGTCTACAAATTTGCTGCTGATTATTTTTAAAAATACTGGAAGCTATTTGCAGGATACCTTTAATTTTTTTTCTTTTGTTTTTTAAAAAAAAACAAATTCCAAAGTCTTGCTTTTCTTTATATTTGCAAAGCATCTCTTCTCATGTTACAGGCAAGATGCAATAAAAATGAGACAAGAATAAATTGTATGTTATGCTATGCATGTCTTTTTTAAGATTTTATTTAGTTTGAAGTTTTTAAAAATATTTATTTTTATTGGAAAGGCAGATCAGATTTACAGGGAGAAGGAGAAACAGAAAGATCTTTCATCACTGGCTCACTGCCTAAAATATTGGAGCTGAGGTGACCTGGAGCCAGAAGCTTCTTCCAGCGCAGGTGTGGGGTCCCAAAGCTTTGGGCTATCTGTCCTTTGCTGCTTTTCGAGGCCATAAGCAGGGAGCTAGATGGGAAGTGGAGCAACTGGGATACAAACTGGCATCAATATAGGATCCCATTGCATACAAGGCAAGGATTTAGCCATTGAGCCATCACACTGTTTGTTCATTGGAAAGGCAGAAATACGAAAAGAAAAAAAGAGGAAGAGGTTTTCCATCCGCTGGCTCATTCCCCAAATGGCCACAACAGCCAGGGCTGAGCCAGTGGCTTCCTCTGGGTCTCCAACATGGATACAGGGGGCCAGACATGTGTGTCATTCACTGCTGTTCAAGTGTCACCAGTGAGCTGAATCGGAAGTGGAGCAGCTGGGACATGAACCAGCACCTTTATGAGTTGCTGACACTATGGGCAGCCAGTTAGCCTGCTATGCACAGCATTGGCCTCACTGCACATCTCTGACTGCTAGTTGATTTAGTTTCTTGTTCCTTTGTTTTTCAAAAATTCCAACTCAGATATTTTCAGATTAAATTTTGTAAGACTGACATGAAACTAAACTCAATGTTACATGAACATTTCCTTCCAAGACAAATCAGATGTTTGGGGAAAATGAACTCTTTCATAACAGGATTGTGTTTATAATCTGATGAGAGATACCACCTTCTGTGTTTGGAGTGTAGACTGCAGGACTACTTTTAGAGTAAATCAGTGTCATGCACAAAGCAGATTTCACCAGTTTGGGTACGTCCAGTTTGGTTCTAGTAACACGTGTAATATTTTATGAACACATTTTTTTCACCCAACATCACTTTTGTGTGTGTGTGTGTAGATAATATTCTTAATGGCCTTGAGAAGGTCAGTGTTCTATTTTCAACCACGCTATTATTTTATCCTCTTGACCAAGTCAGGCAAATTCATGAAGGCCAGAATTTAGAAGTTACGTCAATTGGTGATGCAGGGTTTGGATGAACTCAACAATAAAATGTTCTGTACAGTTGATTCCTAACAATTAAGGGTAATAATCTAACATTGAGGGTAATCTGACATTTCAAGAAAACATTTATTATTTTTGGAAATTGACCAAAAAGGCAGCATGAGTCATTTTTTTTTTTTCTGAAAGTAAACATGCTTTCCATATGAGTATTCTGACTCTCGGCAGTTCTTAAATCTAAGAATATTGTTTTCTTGCAAATATATTACTAGGAGGGAAGTATAAATATAAAATTTTATCCAACCTAATTACACTCAAGTTGAAAAGTGACTGAGGCAGCTGTTAATTCTGAGGAGTGGCAAGCCACCATCAGTTTTGAACCATTAGCTTGGGTTTTGGTGAGAGTTTGTGAACTATTGTCTGCACTTCAGCGTAATGGTGTCTTCAGGTGATCCAAAAGAACACCAATATCCCAGAGCACCTGACTTATGTTCAGGACTTGCTTGGTCAGTCTGTCATGCTGATACCCATTTTAAAACAACTCTAATATCCCAATGTATGGAGTAATTGGGAAGGGTGTCGCTATGAAAAATGAGAACCATAGCTCTGAGCAAGAAATTCATGAAAAATTAAAAGTTAAGTTCATTTGGTGTAAAAACATTTAATTCCAAATACGATTTTTTTCTTAATACACATTTTTAGCAATTTTTTGAAGATCTTTCGTATATATAGTAGAAAACCTGATGTCCAAAAGAGAGTGACTTCTGAATTCTTAGAGTTAAAGTGCAGTTACATGTAGCGACAGTGAGATATTTCATCCACTGGTTTACTCCCCAAACAGTTGGTTCTGTTCCTGGCCAAAGCCAGGGACTAGAGACTCCATCAGGATCATTTTTCAAAAAATATTTATTTGAGAGGCAGAATAACAGAGGAAGAGAGGGAGAAAGGTCTTCTGTCCACTGATTTACTCTCCAAATGGCCACAAGCACTCCCAGGCCAACACCAGGAGCCAGGAGCTTCTTCCAGATCACCCACTTAGGTGCAGGGCCCCCAAGCATTTGGGACATCTGCTGCTGTTTTTGCAGGCCCATTAGCAGGGAGCTGGATCAGAAGTGGAGCAGCCAGGACTCACACACCAACGCCCATACAGGATGCTAGGGCTTTAGGTGGTAGCTTTTCCTATTGTGCCACAGTACAGGCCTGAAACTTATCCATGTCTTCTAGGTGTGCACATGGGCCACAAGCACCCTGCTTTTCCAGGTGCGTTTAACAGAGAGATCAACTGGAAATGAAAGAGCACAACCTAAACTGGCACTGTAGTGTAAGATGCCAGCATCACGGACAGTGGCTTAACCCACTGTGTCCCAGAGCTGGATTCCATAGAGAAGACTCTCAGGGTGACTTCCTTTTCTTCCAATTCTAAATTCAGCAAGTCATTAATGAAGTCACATTCTTCTCTTCGACACATTGATGATGCAGTCTTAGAATCATTAGAATGGAATCTGATGTGTTTTATCCATCTGTTGGCTTACAAATCTTGAAATGTTTAACTCCCTTGGTGAGACATTAGGAAGAA